GGAAAGGAACAGCGATATCTTTTTCTCACTCTATTTTTAGGTCCCAGCCCGGACATAGAAAAAATCATACTGTGTGTAAATTTCTCAAATTTCATACAAAGATGGATCAACGTAGTCATGTCCTTGTAAGTATGATGACACACGTCAGTCTAAGTTGTCATACCTAATTATCGGTGGAGAATTCATAAATAAACAGCTTATACGCAGTAGTATATAATAAGTCTATGAGCTTAGGTCTTGTTGCAACACATAGAGCGTGGCATCAAATTGTTGGCAACACTCAATGCTCTCCTAGCTTTGATTTGCCTTAAATTAAAATTCGTTACATTAAGGTCATGCACATAGAAAAAAAGGAGATATAATAATACGTTAAGAATAAATATATCCATTTATCTTTAATAACCGGATGTTTTGGCAACTTGTAATAAAAGCATTCTATTAAATAAACAAATGTATAAATAAAATGAATACAACATTATACAAACAGCAAACGAATAAATATATGTATGGGTGACATATTTATCATTTTCTATTAGTTTTAAAGATCTGTAACTGACTTTCTGTTGTTTGCTACTTTTCAGTTTCCCGGCTTCTTACAGATCGAGTTAAGACTACTATCCTTACAATATAATTACTTATCCTTACAATATAACTTATTAAAAATTTATCAAGTAATTTAAAAGTATAAACAAACACATAATCGCTGATAAACGGTTAACGGTATAAAATATTTAGAAAGAAAAAAGTAGAAAGGCGTAAATAAAGGTGTATATTTAACGAAAAATCACATTTAATTCCCGTTTCGTTAAAACTAGGTAAGCCAAACATAATAAATTATCGATACAAAATAGTTGTGTCACGTAACTGACTCGCATTCGACTCCTGCGGCCATGTTCTAGGAAATTTACGTAAGGTCAATGGAGGTTATTGCAACTAGAAAAAATAAGATTATACCTTTTGCTAAAAATGCCCACCTTATTTTATTGGATTAATGTATTAAAACTATAAGATTAAGAAGGCATATAACGGAGATTCGTATCGACCTATAATAATGTCAAAAAGCTGTAAGATTTACCTAAAATTTTAATATTAACCCATGCCGGCAGAAAAAGTCGCATTAGCCCCATGTTGGGGTAAATGCAACTGTTTAAAATAACTTATTCGTTTTTGCAGCATATGTGCTCAGAATCAGAGGCATGATCCTCCAGCGTGAAATTTTCGCAAAAATGATCTCTAAGTTGAGGCAGTCAAGTCCTAATACGACTAAAAGTATATTTTGTATTTGTGGGGGCTAATGTGACTATTTTCTATAGGATTAGTACTGTGTAGGCGTAAAAAATATCGATAAATTGTAAAAAAAAGTGTAGGTAATCGATAATATGATGGGTGACTAAGTGAAATAAAACTATGCATTGTTTTTAATTTATATTTATTTGACTTCACTTTATACTAAATCAACGGCACATATAAATCACATTTTATTAGAGGACAAAAAATTTCAATGAAAAATATTTATCAAATTTTCCTATGAGGACTTTATGCTTAATTGAAAAAACAGATATAAAAATAGTATACGCGTTAGCAGTTAGTAATCATCACTGTGTTTCAATCAATGGCACATATTAATCACATTTTTAATGTTTAAATACAAGAATAATATACTTAATATAATACTAAATCAAACCGAATCATTTCACTATTAAATCAATGGCACATATTTATCACATTTATTGTATTATTATTTATTATATTTGAATAAGTTTTATTTCTTTTTGTTTTTTGATCTTCTACGGTCTTTGGATACGAGATTCTTTTTTGTTTTTCTTTTTCCAGGGTTATTTCAATTTTGTTACTGAATTCTGTTATAGCAGTGTCATTCTGATTTTCTTACTTTTTTCATAGGTTCTTATTTCTGGACTTGTTTCTTTTTTAACTCTTAGTATTTGATTTATTCAATTTTTTTAGTCCTATTATTCTGGTCATGATATTGTATTGAATTATTCTGTTGTTGTCTTTCGTAACTTCTCATGTTCTCTTTATTTTGAATCTTGTTTTCCGTTTGTTTTGAATCTTTACAATATGTAATAAAGTTCTAAGTGCCAATCTAACGAGAGTTGGCACGTTTTTAAGAGGTTTGTTGACCAATTTTTCAAATGGTGCTCGAATGGCTTCACTAACTTCTTCGACGTAGTTGCCTTGCTCGTATGTTTGACTTTGAACATACTGCTCCCATCAAGACCAAGTTAGGGATCAAACTTTTCTTTTGGGATCACGTGCCAATTTAAGGGATAGATACCTGTTTTTTTAAACCCATTGGCTAGAATAACAGGAATCATAACATCCCATATTTCAGTAATAATTCGTGCGAACTCACTTTTGGGTAACTTTGCTCCGATATGAAGCCTTTGCCATTTAACCAAGGCTTCTTCCCATCGATCCTTCATAGGCTTCATTCCACTTACATCTAGCGGTTGAAGGATATGTGAAAAATGCGGGGGTAACTTCAAAATGGTAACATTTTCGGAAATGGTGAGTTCGATTACTTTTAAATCGATATGTGTGGTTCGATCGCAGGTAAAAATACATTTTTAAAATATTTTTCGAAAATTGATGTTTCCATCCAGCCCTTTTGGCTTACAGCGTATGCTGTTTTCACACTATCATTTTTATAATACCACTCGTTCCACAAGTATTTTCCTTGAAAAATTTTGAGTGGTGGGACTTTATCGCCGCGTGCATTAGTTGCCAATAGGACACTTGTGTTATCACGGCCGGGGGAGCTAGTTGTGCTAGTAGAACTATACCCTCTTTGGCCAAGCACTTTACTCTTGGAAGGATCGTTGCAAAAACTGGTTTCGTCTAGATTATAGATGCACTCAGGTTTCTCGGCCAGATCCAAGTCATTTATGGCATTTTCCAATAAATTAAAGTATTCATATACGGTGAACGGGTTGCAAGCTTTCCTTCTAGCTATTTCGACTGATTGTGGATTTTTTAATGATAGATTATTTCTTTTGCAAACGCGCCGAAACCAATCATCTCTAGTAATATTATTCTTAAATGGAGTTATCCACCCATTTCTTACAACATATTCCGAAACCAATGTTTTAAACTTCCTTTTTAGTTAGAGGAAAGCCATACTTTTCAAAAGTATACAGATACGAAGCTATCTTGCACTCAATATCAATTGAAAATACTGTCTTCATTCCAGCATTCACCTGCTTCTGGCCACGTGTGCCATATAAATGCGAAATTATAGTAGATCTCGGAATATTAAAGTTTTTTGCTGCCTCATAGCTATTTAACGTTTTGTTTTTAACTAACTCGAGTGCCTCGAGAAGCTTTTTTTTTTTGAGTAGCTCTTTTATTTTTTCTTAATATAATTTCGGACCATATAAAACAAGTGAAATAAAATAGAACAAACTTTTAAACAAAAAAAATGATAGTTAAATTCAAATATCTCGAAAAAAACATAAAAATAAAAGAGAACACTATGGTTCTTACTGCAAACATACATAAAATAAACAAAACGATAGAGTATATTACGATGGGGGTAGTGCAATGCATTACCCTTTATTTAAGCAATATACTCAGGTCTCGAATGCATTCAGATCGTGCTGTAACTGTATTAATTTATTATCGACATTCGACATCACTAGCATATTTATTTTTATACAAACACAAAGGGGCTATTGTAACTAAAATAACTAGACACAATAGCCCCACAACGCGGTAAATTGAGGCTAATGTAACTATTACATTATCTTACGATTTAAAGGATCTAACGTTATAAAAATAAGTTTATAGAGTACTTACCGTTAGTTTTTCTAATTTGTTGCATAAACCCTTGCTTAAAATGCACGATAAGTATTTTTTTTCGTTGAAAATTGATGAGACGCTCTCCAACAAACACGAGATCAAAATGGCGACTAACAAAAAAGTTCTGGTAAGTCAAACAGTTTCGATCTAAGTGATGCCATCTGTTTATGATAGTTTAAACTATGATTTTTCTCCACGCCAATTGATGGCATTGTATTTAAAAAAAACCATAGAATAGAAGATATCGCTGTTGGTTGCTTTAGCCCCATAGTTGCAATAGCCTCCATTGACCTTACCCAACAATTTTGTTTATTGCCCTTACTATAAATCCGTCGCTGATTTTAGCTGTCGTACTCGTAGACATGAACTAGCTTAGGATTCAATGGATATTGAAGTGTGAAAACAATTAAAATTTCGGAGACAATCGTAGTACTGGAGGTGGATAATTTTATTTAAGTATATTTCATTAAACACAACATTATTTAAAACACTAAGTACTTATTTATGAAATTTTATCCCTTTATTTGAAAATTTGCAAGTTGTGGAGGGATTTTCGCAGTTGGATATGCTTCAAAACACCATTTTTACGTCTAGCTGCGTCCGAACTTATATTTACTTACCGACTTATATTTATACCATTTAGATTTCGGTGGTTTTATTTTATACTTGGACTTTAACTTCGTCCATAAAAGGAGTGCCTGTCAGAATTTGAGAGTCCGTAATTTTCCGCTCCATGTTTCTTGCCTCGCAGACACTAGGTTTCGAAGATGGCGAAATCTCATATATTGTAACATGTTCAGAACTTCGTGATAAGATGACGTACTATATCATCTTTAAGCTGAGGGTTGCTAGGTCATCCCTATTAAGAAAAATATTTGCCGCATTTTGCGACTCTACGCGCGCTTTCGCTTTTCCTTGCTTTAAACAAGGTTTTGAATTGAAAGTCAGTTTATTTAAATGTTAAGAGTAAGTTACTTTTATATAAGTAACTTTTTATAGAAGATGAATATGATGAACCTATAAATTAGTAAATTTGTGAAAATATGTCATGTCCTAGGTCAAACATAATTCTACATAGTATGTATTCTTAAATTCTGTTTAAATCTTATACGAAATGAGAAATAATTGTTATTATTATTTTTTTATTTAGTTTTTTCCTACCCAGATTTAGTCCTCATTGTTTATAACAAAGCAAACTGCAGAAGAACTATTGTGTATGTTGCGGTGATTGCGAACAGATTGAAAGGTAGTTGAGCGTCCAATACATATATGTCGTAAATGTATATTTTTCTTTCTATTTCCAGCAGTAGTAATAAACGCTTGACATTATGCCGAGATGCACCTGAAAATGTTAGAAATAACGAAATGAGATGTAGATATCACTTCCGTTTTTAAATTATACTAGATTTTAATTAAATTTGACTTTATTAGGAGAGATGTCCGTTTGCCTCCCCTTCTATAAATTTTTTTCTTCATCGCTGTGCAGTCGTAAATCAGTAGTGCGGGAATTAAACTAGGGTTAAGTTTGACTGTAATTATGTCATGTAATGTTTCTTAATCATCAGCATTGGAGCTGATGATTAAGAAACATTACATGACAAATTTGGGCAAATTTCCCTTTAGTAAGATTTGCAGTAATCGCCACGCCACAGCGAACTGGCGGTTTTAGTACCATATCTCCTGTCTTTGTCTTCGTCACTAGTCTGACTATTTACACCTGGCATATGAGTTTATTTTGTCGTCATCTACTGGAGGCCATATCTTCATTGCACAAATATCATAGTCGACTCTTACGACATGCACAGGTTGAGATGGGATGATGTATTTTCTTTCATCGTTATCACACGCAAACTATTGTTAGAAAGATACGTTTTTTTTTAGTAAATAACATATAATTTTAATAAAGGTTAAAAACAAAATGACGACAGATGTCGGAAAGTAGATTATACTGCATTAACAATTCAGTAGCTATTAAAGCCCAAGAGAAAATTGCCCTCTCAATGACAATGATCAATAATCTAAAACTAATTTGATTCGAGTTAAATTTTAAGTTAATTATAGTGTCCCATAAACTGTCTATCGATTTTTTTGCGCCCGAAGCAAATATGGGCAACCCTCCGGAAAGCGGGGGAGGGAGGTGGGGAATCCTCATAGCATACCACACGGCCGGCGTGGTTATGTGGAGACTTACCCACTAAACCCCACCTTTAAGGATTGGCTTACCGATCTGACGAGAGATCTCTAAGCCTTATACGAACGCGACCCTCCTTCGCAGAAAGGAGGGCGCAGTCTATCGATGTACGTTGGCCTCTTTTATAGGTAAAGGGGATTTGCCGTTATCGCAACGCATAATTTCACAACCTTGACTGTGCTTCCCGTCGCCAGCATGGGGATTTCAAGTGGTATAAATATAGGATAGCTCCACAAATTGGAGGCTTCAAGAACTTCTGGGTATTACATTAGATACCTCTTGCGACAACCACGGGATGAGGTGGGGTCTTGTACTAAGTTATTACATTATGGTAGTCAAATGTGCTTTATTTAATTTGGATATGTGGAAAGCCGAATACAATTTTCATTTCCTGTTTAAATAATAGGGGAAGATAATGCTCATTTGTAATATTTTCCTACCGTGTAGCGGCAGTGTAAAAATATCTACTACCTCATATCGTACCTGTGGGTCCTTAAGAAGTGACAGAGGAAAACTGTGCGAGGTAGATTAAAAAACTGCAGTTGCCAATACGATGAGGAGCAATTTTTATAATTTTTTTTTTCATAAAACTTACGTGGCATATGGACATACAGTCCACCTGATGGTAAGTAGCTAATGCAGTCTGTGAACACCTGCAGATAATTTCAAACAAAGTCTACAAATGCGTCGTCACCTCTGAGGACTCTCACAGCCTGTATTTATACGGGCTGTCTTTAACTACGATAACGGTGAAAATACAAAATAATAATCTAACGTTAAAAAAATCTTCAGCTCATACCAGTACTAAAACACAAAATATTGGCGCAAAGTTTTTTCGAATTTTCCATCTTTTTGTTTAGTAGTTCCACCATGGCGCACAGTAACACTATAAAGAACAGACTCAATATCAATGGTGCCACGATTGTCACTGACAAAATATTTATGGGTATCTAAAACAATTAAATTTAGGATTATAGTAATATGGTATGTTTGAATATATCGCAAAAAGTTTTGAAAATAAACTTACCTGATTTTGAATAGTAGTTATTACACTCTGCACCAAAATCAGGTCCAAAATAATAAATTTGCAGGTAAGGCCAAAGATCTACAAAATACAATTTTCATCTGAATACAACAATGAAATGTTACTAATTTACAAGGCCTCACTTGTTATTTGAGTAGCCTAGGATAAGAATCGGAGGAAAAGTACAGTGGGTGCACCCATTATCATGCCGATGGTCAACCCACTTTTGATTTGATATAATGATTATGATGAATGATGATACCGTGTTTTAGCTTTAAATCAAAGTATACGCATAAAACGGTAATTTATTTGTCACTTATGTAATATAAAATATTGTTCGTTTTTTTAATTAGGTACAATTAGGGTCCCTTTATCATTACATTTTCTGTCCGGGTGTATGTGACTGAACTCCTAAACGGTTGGACTCGTTTCGATAAAATTTTGCTTATGATTAAGTTCATTCGAGAATGGTTTAGATTCACAATTGGCCCCGGTATTGGTTGTTGTCGAGTTCCAGAAATCACCCGTGTGAAACCGGGGTGAATCGCTAGTATAAATTAGTATTGTACTATATTGTCATTTAAAATTAAAATAACTACGTATATAGGCTGTAACAGCCTATATACGTCCCACTGCTGGGCACAGGCCTAATCTCATTTCTAAGAAGGTTTATTTAATTTAGTTATTGTCATTTGGTATATTATAACGTTACAGCCTACTTATATACGTCCCATAACTAGGTGCAGTAGGTACATGCATCCTCTCATTTCTGAGAGGATTAAGAAACACTTAGTCCGCCAAGCTGCCCCAGTGCATGTCGTGTTGGAAAACTTCACATGTCCTAGAAATATTTTATTCCTCATACATGTAGAATTCCTCATGATGTATTTCTTCACCGCCAAGCACGTAGTAAATTAGCACTTAAGTTACAAGAAGCAATTTTATTAGTACCGGCGGGATCGAACCCGGGTGGCTCGCGTACGAAATTTACTACAAACGCGTAGCCTCTGAGCTAACATGACCACAAAACACTTAAAAGTACAAGGTGTACCTTGTACTTTTTAAAAGAACGAGGGTGTACCTTGTACTTTTAAGTATTTTTACCTATACCTATAATTATTAATTTTATTTCATCATATTATGTCTTACTGCGCCTCTACACGTTGGCCAACACAGTGGCGAATCGAGTGGCGAATATATTGGCCGAGAGTTGGTGACGGCGTCCACACGTTGGAACGTCGTTCAGTTTACTTCGGTTCGGGCCAATGTGCGGACGAATTCATTTTATTTTAGACGACGGCTCCGTGGCGCAGTGTTTCAAAATTGGTTTTGATTTTAAAGTTTAGCAAAACATGTACTTGCTTTTCTATCAGACATTTGATGTATATAAAAAACACCTTATAATTTATTTTGTAATTTAATTATTTTTTGAGAAAGACAAAAACAATAGCAATAAATATAATTAACACTGACTTAATAATAGGTACTAATTATAACTTAGAACATAAATGAAAAACTCATGAGCAAAGTGGCTCAGGACCATGCTTTGCGGCAGTCTGTGGGGGAGGATGTTCAGTAGTGGACTTGTGAACAGCTGTAATGATGATGATGATGATTCGAAATCTTGCACGATTAAATTATAAGAAATCGACGTTTTTTTATAGGATAGGGTGACAAACGAGCACACAGTTCACCTGATGGTAAGTGGTTACTGTGGCCCATAGACATCTACATCTATCCTCGATTACGAATCAAAATGCAGATGCGTTGTCACCCGTGGGGACTAAGATGAAATGCCTCGTTTTCTTTAAAAAGGGTCTCTGGTTCTCTACACTCACTATACGAAACACAGCATCATTAAGCTACTATTTTACGCTGATATTCTGTGAGAGCGTGGTCCTTCCCCAGTCGAGCCAACCTGCTGCGACCTGCTGCCGAGCCGTGCTGCAACTATACTTCTAATATAATTGCATGGTTCTACCACGTATAAACGACGTGCTTCATTTTTTTTTCATTTTAAAATTGTTCTCGTAATAATCTGATTGTGAAAAAACGTTAATTTTTTTTTAATAAATATCTTATTGATTAAAACAAATGTTCAATAATAATTAAATCGCGCTAATTAAAGTAGTAGGAATGTTTAAAGTTGAAATTGGCACTAAAAGGCTGGTAATTGGGGCATCCACCCTACAAAGCTTGTATATAAAATTTAAATCAGATGCGTGTAATCACCATGGGTGCTTGTAGCAAACTAAACGCGCGGCCAACGTGTGGATGCGGCGACCAAACTCTGCCAACAATCCTTTGATCTTTTGTAAAAAACCGACACCACACGGGTCTCGCGCCAACTTGCGGGCCATCGTTCCAATACATACCAATGAAGCCCAAACACCCCGTCTACGCGTTGGCCAATGCTATTGGCCACTACATTCGCCACTGTGTTGGCCAACGTGTAGAGGCGCCGTTAAAATAAAATTAATAACTATAGGTAAGTTTACTAAACTTTATATTCTCGGCACGGATCACTAATTGTGCAAGTAGTTACAGCTTTTATTTAACTGATTTTTTATTGGGCATGTAAATTTCATAGTATGCGAGCAACCCCGGTTCGATCCCCACTGGCACCAATTAAATTGCTGATTGCAATTTTAAGTGCCGATTTACCATGTGCTCGGCGGTGAAGGAAAACGTCATGGGGAAATCTGCATGTCTAAGAAATAAGAAAAAATATCTTTCGAAGAAATGTGAATTTCTCCAACCCGTATTGGGGCAGCGCGGCGGTCATGTCCTTGCCCTAAAATCCTCTCAGAATGAGAGGAGGCCTGTGCCCAGCAGTGGGAGTGAACGTCCCATTGATGGCTTGTAGTAGTTGAAGTGTTGCTAGGCTGTAACTTTAACAATCACAGTACTTTTATCGAACGTCCGCCATATAACCTATAACTGAGTTAAGTATCACAGCATTAACGACTGTTAAAAGATTTATTTTTAGTCGACTTCAAGAAAGGAAGTTTACAATTCGACTGCATGTTTTTGTATGTATGGCACGCACTATCTTCTTCAGTTTCGAAACAATTTTGATGATTATTGTCATTATATATGTTATCGTCATCCTATATAAATATGGACGATTTTTGAAGTGAAAACTTCATTAGAATCGTTGTGTGTCGATGAAACGAAAAAACGACACTAAAGAGAGACAAAAATATATTCGTACATCTTTAGGATTTAGCTGGCTAGAGAATGAGATAGAGTACAGTATACATGTTTCCTATTATCTCGGTCTCTTCTTTGTGCGGTGCTTTCAAGAAGATTAATATAACTTTTCACTGTTAAAATAAACATTTAAAAAATAACAAATTTATAAATAAATAAAATTAACCATATTAAATAAAATTATCATATCCAATCCATTCACAACAATCGACGATTTCATAACTGACCGATTTATGATTAAAACTACTTTTACGGATTTTATCGCGTTTATTTTTGCTTTTAATTACTTTTATTTTAAAAATAAACGCGATAAAATCCGTAAAGGTAGTTTTAATCATGTGTAGTGTTCGCGTTAATATAAGAAATCATTACCGATTTATATAAAATTAGTTGTGTTTAGGCAATCTAGTGTCTATTTTACGTACCACCTTGAGAGTCAACCAATTTTTGTTCGATAAAGCGACTTTCATTATAGAATGAAGTAGTTGGCTATTAAAAAGCAATTTTACTAGCAATTTTCTAAATGTTTCACTCCTACCGCGACACATGTTCTTTTTTAACACCCCGCTATGAAAATTAACGATTTTCAAAAAATGAGGAAGTTATTGGTTTCACCCCGGTTTTCGAAAATCGAGTTCTCATCAGATCTTCACTTTTTGAGGTTCTAAGAAGATATTCTGACTATTCTTATTCCTTCGTATGTATTTAGGTATGTGTGTGTGTATGTAAAAACGCGGTTCACGGCATTCAAAAGAGTTCTATTGCCATTAGATTTCATGTGAATTTGAATCAATTCGGTTCGGTAGATTTAGAGAAATCTCAAAAATTTAATTTTCAAAAAATGTTACTTTGAGATAACTTTGAAACTAATGTACCGATCGATTTCAAAATAATATTAGCCCTTAACCTCAAACAACATCAATCGCCACAAACCGCATCAAAATCGATTTATTCAGAGAAATTGTTGACGAAAAATTACGACATTAATTTCTCTTGAAAATTGGTAGAGCCACGCTGCAGCTATACTATAGTTGTAGCATGAATGTGTCGGTTCGACCGGGGAAGGACCCACGCTCCCACAAATTACCGACGAGAAATATCAGCTAATTGCTGTTGCTATTGGAAACGAGGCATTTCATCTTGGTCCTCAGGGGTGACAACGCATTTTGCATTTTGTAGATGTCAGTGGGCCCACAGCATCCTCTTACATTCTCCATCAGGTGGACTGTGTGCTAGCTTGTCACCCGTATTCTATTAAAATATTGCCGCGCCAATAATGCCGGATAGCATTTCAACGATGTGAGATTGTGATATTTCTTAGTCCACTCAAAAGCGTAAAAAAAACTGCTTCAGTACTCTTAACATAAATCTATATCAGCTTGTAAAAGAGTTCTAGAAAACTTACCGTAATTTGATGAATACTAAATAATTCTTTCCACAAAGTAATTGTAGCGTGTGCAGTTATTATGAGACGGTTCCATAATTTGTCGTCGTGGTCAGTATTACCGTTATTCACTACAAAAGGCTTGACTGTACCTTGAGTATCGCAAGTGCTGCTACGTAATTTCTCTTTCAACATTGAATTTATATATTCAAATCTTATCACCATAAAATATATCTTATAGCTTATTATAATGATATCCATGTAGTTACTCAAAACGGGAAGTTGGACCATAAAAGCAACGGGACAAAATCCTTCCATTATATACTCATGGAGAGCTATCATCCAAATAATGCTTGAAACAACAGTTATCGCCACTAAAATTGTCGAGAATATGAACATACGCTTATTACTTTTTCTTGCATCTCTCATATTAATATACCTATCGATTTTTTGTAATTTCACATATAACTCGCTAACTAAATTTCCGTTGCAAAAATTTAGAATTGTGATAATTACTATAACTGACCCATTAAAAATATGGTAGAGTTTTATATAAAAGTCAGTCAGCATAGAATTGCTTGACACCTCACAATCGGTTACGAATATGATCAATGACAGTATATGGATAAGCCAAGCAAAAACACTAAACACATTGTATCCGTAAGACGATTTTGTAGCGAATCCATATTGGATTTTTACATATAATGACCCAAGTATATATTGTATTAAATGCACCGGCTTAAAAATTTTTACAAAATCCTTATCTAAAATATCCGCAGATAACTCGTCAAGTTTATTTTTCGCCATAACGACCAAGCGTTTAAATGAACAGGTAACTAACGAATGGCTTCTTGATGACTGCTTTTTGTTGAAGCGCGATATTAATTCAAATATTTATTGATGCGCTGTCTCCGGGGGATATTTTTCCATTATTGTTATTAGAAGTAAAGGAAAATGTTGTCTTTTAATTTTACAGAAAGGACTGTACTTTTTCTATAAGTCATTTATGAGTGGTACTTTTTTTTTAAATAAGCATATTACGGTACTTGCATGTACATAAATATTTATATTCATATAAAATGTAATATTTATGTGTATATTTCTAAGGATGTTTTTCTATCCAATACAGGCCTATAAAGCCAAATGCCTCGCATGGGGGACTTGCTATAGTTACCACGCTCGGCGGGTTAGCACCCACAATTTTTTATTTTATTCTTATTATTATTAGTTTTGTTATCAGGAAGATGCTGCTGCCCATCTGTTCTTTCAGTTTACCTCTGTCGCCTCTTTCGACACCTACGGGACGATATGGCGAAGTTTATATTCACACCGCCACGCCGTTACAACTAAGTACATGATGTTTGCAGGATTTTTATAATTGTATTGAATGTGGTTATTACTAACTAGCGTCCCGTCCCGGCTTCGTCTGGATAAGATCTAATAATGTAATGTTATTTCATCATCATCATCATCATCATTTAGCTCTACACAAGTCCACTGCTCAACATAGGCCTCTCTCAAGAAGCGTCAGAAAGCACGGTACCGAGCCACCTGCATCCATCAACTACCCGCATGTCTTACCAGGTCGTCACTACATCTAAAGAGGGGCCAATACTTCGTCTACTAGTACAAGCCTGCCACTCGAGAACCTTTATTCCCCGTCGGTTGTCGGTTCTTCAAGCGATATGGCCGGCCCATTGCTACTTCAGCTTAGTAATTCGTTGGGCTATGTCGGTATCTCTGATTCTACTGCGGATATCATCGCTTCTAAGTTTATCACGCAGAGAAACCCCGTGCATAGCCCTTTCTATAGCTCGCTCAACGACCTTGATCTTCCTCTTACGGCCAGCAGTGTAGGACCACGTCTCACATGTATTAGTCATCACTGGTAGTACACACTGGTGGTTAAATCTTGTTTTTAAGTTTTGAGGTACACCTGACTAGAAGTTTTTTTTTAAAAAGGATGGGACAAACAGCAAACAGCCCCCTGGGAAGGTTTTTGCGAAAAACAATTATCAAACCAGAACAAAAACCAACAAAAAATGTGTCGTAATCTCCCGAATGCTGCCCAGCCGAGTTGATTCCGTCGATTGACCTCTCGCAGGAAGTTGGACGTACCTAGCGCAGTACCATGTAGTACCATAGTTCCCGGTCGTCACCGTAGCCAGAAATAGCAGAGCCGCCGGGGACTGGGGGCGGTCTCTTTGTTACTCTCGCCATGGGGGATATATTGCCATAGTCGCTACGCTTGGCGAGTGGGTTTGCAACCGCAGTTTTTATTGGTGTTTTTGGTGCTATCAAAAAGATGCTGCTGCCCTTCTCCTGCCTTAGTTTCCCTCTGTCGCCTCTTACGACGCCCAAAGGAAGATATGGGTTAGCGGATATTCTTACACCTTCACTACACGGGGTGTTATTTATATTTAAGATAATCAAAGTCCATTTATTTTATAAATTTTTGCGTATTTTCAGAATATCCCAAAGACACATGCTATTTATAAGTTGCAGTCGTCCCAGTGCTGGGCTGAGATCTGCTCTCATAACTTATTGTGTAACGGAGCACCCAGTCCGTTGTGCTGCTACAGCATGTACGTATCAGGGCTTCTTTTTATAGAAGAGGGGGCAAACGAGCATACGGTTCACCTGATGTTAAGTGTCTACCGCCGCCCATGAACAACCGCAACACCAGGAGAATTGGAAGTACATTGCCGGCCCTTTAGAAAGGAGAAAGCTCTTTTCTTGAAGGTCCCTACGTCGTATCGGTCCGGTAAAATCGCAGGTGGTAAACTATTCCACAGAGAGGTCGTACGCGGAAGAAAACTCCTTATTGTGGCTTCGAAACAGTCCCGATAAAATATCCTTTTCCTAAGTATTTTCTATCCTCCCGCCTGTCCTATATACGCACTACTCAAGAATGGTGTGCTACCGATGTCAAGAAAAGTAAGTAGCAAGATGGCCGCGTACGCATAAACCGTGTTCGTTGCAGTTCGTTAAAAAAAACATACAAACATAAACACTCACGCCTGTCACCCAGAGGGGTAGGCAGAGACTACAGACTTCCATTTGGCACGATCCTGACACACCTCTCTCGCCTCCTTCACATCCATACACCTCCGCATACATGCTCGTCGGTTAAGGGTACTCCTAATTTGGCCCGTTTTCAATAAATCGCCAATTTGGTCGATAAATTTTCGCCTAGGACGTCCCTTTCCGACTCTGCCATTCACTTCTGCAACATAAATTTTCTTTGTCACTCTTTCCTCATTCATTCTTTCCACATGACCAAACCACCGAAGCATTCCTTTCTTAATCCTGGTCACAACATCATCTTGCAAACCACACTCTTCTCTTATTACACAATTTCTTACCCTGTCATTAAGATTCAGCCCTAACATACTCCTTAACGACCGCATTTCTACTGCGTTCATTCTACTCTCGTGCTTCTTCTGCCACACCCAACTTTCACTACCATATGTTAAAGTAGGGACCAACACAGCATTGTGAATTGCCATACGTGCCTTTTTCGACACATTTTGACTCTTCACAATAGAGTGCAGGGCCCCATTTACTCTATTTCCCGCATTCACTCGTCGTTCTATATCCTTATCATATCTCCCATCCCTGCTAAATACGCAGCCCAAATATACAAACTCGTCTACTTGCTCGATCAACTCCCCTTCTATTCTTATTTCACAAATCGTTTTACTTTCTTCTCTTTCAAAAACCATAACCTTCGTCTTACTTGCGTTCACTTTCATACCCCTTTCTTTTAATGATCTGTTCATTAATGTAACCATCATTTGCAACTCGGCCGCCGACGACGCAAGTATAACTTGATCATCGGCGTACAAAAGGCATTTGACGGTTAACTCACCCATTCTTAATCCGCATTCTTCAACTTTCAAATTTTGCAAACAACTGTCCATAAATAGGTTGAACAGCCACGGGGAAGCTACACAGCCCTGTCTGACACCTTTATGGATGTCAAACCAGTCCGAGTAGACCCCGTTGATCCTAACACAAGCACTAGAGTCCCTATAAAGGGACTCCAATGCCCGTATCAAGCCAGCGCTCAACCCAAATGAGTTCAGTGTTTGCCATAGCACATCCCTATTCACTCTGTCATAGGCCTTTTCCAAGTCCATGAACGCACAAAAAACCTTTTGGTTTTTGGCCAAAAACTTCTCCGCGATCATGCGCATGGAAAAGACTTGATCTGTACATCCCATTCCCTTTCTAAATCCTGCTTGCACATCCCAAATTTTTCCATCAGTTTCTTTCATGACCCTTTCAATCAGTACCTTAGCATACAGTTTTCCCACAATGCTAAGAAGGCTGATGCCACGGTAGTTTTTACAGTCCTGCTGCGACCCTTTTCCCTTATATACTGGGACTATCACGGCTTTGCACCAGTCTACCGGTACCCGCTTCAGTTCCCAGCATAAATTAAACAAGGTGTGCAGCAGGCCTGCCACCACTTCCTCTCCAGCCCTTAGCATTTCGAGTGAAACTCTATCATATCCGGCAGCCTTACCTGCTTTCATGCTTTTCATTGCTTTCATTATTTCACCTACACTAATCTCGCTACCTCTTTCCTCTTCCTTCGGAATTTCTACTTCACTTAGTACACACGTTGTCTCCTCACTCATAAACACGCTTTCAAAATATTCCTTCCATCTCTTTAAACTCAAAACTTCATCATTCAGAATATAGCCATTCTCGTCTCTTATAGCATTCATCATAGGCTGTTTTGAATGTCCCCTGGCAGTTCTTACAAGTTTCCAGAACATTTTAATATTTGCCTGGAAATTATCCGATATTCTTCTATCATTCTTATCCGTTCTTTCTTGCTTTTTTCTTTCAACTACTTCTTTTACTCTCTTATTAAGATGTCTAAAGACTGCCTTTTTTCTTTCAATATCATCATTCGTACCGCTAGAATTACCAGCCTTTGTTGCTAGTAAATCTAGCCATGCTCTCTTCTTTGCTTCAACTTCCATACGTACCTCATCATCCCACCATAACGTATTATTTTTCCTTTCATTCTTTCTCTTACTAACACCACATACTTCGGTAGCTGCATCCACTAAACCTTTCTTTACATTTTGCCATACATTCTCCAAGTCTAACTCCTTCATACATAATTCATCCAAACCACTTATATTTTCTTTCAGTCTACATTTGAACTTCTTTTTCTCAGCTTCATCTTGTAACCTTTCTGTTCTAAT